GGAGACCCTAAAGAAATAAGATGCCTTTTGTAAGGTTTTGTTTTCCCTAGAGATGTCCATTGAATGTAAACTCATAGCCATGTCTCGATGTGTAGAACAATACACAGTACCTTTCATTTGGTTCTAATAACAGCAGATTGTCTATTTTTTTGTCTACTAGTAAATACTTTAGTTTTTTTATTATGCTGATCATAAAGCAATGTTTACACTGTGTTATGTCATTGGCTGATCTTTAATAAATATTTAAACCAGTGTATCAGACTCATTTTGAATTGATATTAGGTTGGTACAACGTTAAGTAGCTTCTGATGTAGTTAAGCTACTTTTAACACATTAGTGTAACTTAGCTTGCTATAATTCTTTAGGTGGTAGCTTTGGTGTAGTGAAGCTTAATTTATTTAAACAGAAGAAGAAAAGAAAAAAAAGAGAAAAGATGAAAGAAAGAGGAGATAGAAAGGAGACAATGACAAAACATTTTCAGTCTGCTTCATCACCTGCAACGAGATGTAAAGAGAACAGCACAACCAAAAGACATGGTATGAGATATATAATAAAGCAACACCTTGAAACTATCGCTGAAGTAGAATTATTAAGTCTGACATGTACTACCTGAAGATATGAATGTGGGCTTTCAGAAAGCCCACAGAAAGCCTATAACTTCCTCATTTAACACGAGGTCTTCAGAGAGATCTCCCTATTACCCCAGGTTGGCTTACAGCAGAATAGTAACTGGTTCTCTGTTTATTGACTAGAGTAAAATTAGCTGCGGATCAATAGACTGAAAAGCGGCCATTTTACCGTTGCTCTTCTGCAGACTACGTTCAAAATGTTGCCTGTATAAGGGACCAACATCAACAGAAAGATGAAGACGCCCACCTGAAGATGTCTGATCAGCTTTGGCTTTTTGATCATTTGATTATACAACATGAATAAGAAGGGAGATGTGTTGTAATGTGTTGTATTTTAATCAAAGATGACATTTTTAGTATCTAAGTGTTTGATATTACTTTTTTTTTTTTTTAAAGAAAGCCCAAGTGTTAGATGACCACCTGATGGCTGATGGTCAGTATTGGCAGAGATTTCTGGAATAGAGAATGAACTCTGATGATCAGGTCATGTCAGCTACCATTGGGGAAGAGGAACGCTGATATTAAATCCTCCAACTTTTCAATGTGTGCTTTGACTGAACTTGATTCTGAAGAGCTGAACTGGTCATCTGTGTGAAACATCTTATGATTTTAACATTTTGCATAGAGATTGATCCTTTTTTTTTTTTTTTTTTTTTTTTTACTTTTAATGAAACTCAGATTAATAATATGACTTACCCTTTGTAGAGATGAAGGGGTCTATGGTTTTGACTGATTTTAACTTTTCTCTTTCCAGGGAAACAAAAAGGGTAACTGATAATGATAAGAATTAAAAATTTAAATTCTTAGCAAATAGATATTTTAACAATAAAAAGTATCATTATGAGGAAAAACAGTAAATGTTTTTGCCAACTAATTCCAGGGCTCTATTTATTGGCAGCTATCATAATCTTTCCCATGATTTTTCCATCTATTATAATAATTTAACATTGTCCACTGACTTAATGCAGTTGTGCATTTTTTTTTATATTTTTTTCATTATTTTTAATTTTAGTTTCTTTTTTTTACTTTCTTACAATTTTAGTTTTGTAGTTTTTAGCTTTCTTTACATATACTCACAATTTTAGTTTCTTAGTTTTTTTATATTCATAAATTTTCCTTTTTTTATATCAATTACACAAGGATAATATCCTGTTATAATCGAAAGGGTGGTCTGTTGTCGGAAAATTTTGATTTCTCTTCTGTTATATATTAATTTATCCTATTTACTCACTATAAACGTTTTCACTCAGTCTGTTTCACTTTCAAGGCCACACAATTCTCTGCAGGATGGTGTTTGTAGACCAGACATAGCTTCTTCCCATAACAAACTAGATTCTTTCTCAAGGTTTATTCATTACATGTTACTGTTTAACCAAAGTGTCTGTAAATTTGTTTTGACTCTTGGCTGCTTTCCATTGTTGTAAGTAAGGGGAAACAAACACTGTCCAGATCAGAACAGAGCAGAATGCTGTGCCATAAGGGCTGTATGATAAACTGTTCTCTCTTTGCAAAGATATGAATAAATGTGCCAACTGAGTGAAATCCATCGATCTTTGTTTATTTAACATGGATGAATAGACTGAATAGACTGATCCCAGGTATGTGGAGCTCTGACAGACTTCCAGACGTTATTTGTCCCGGTGTTGTATTAAATCTGTTTCCCTTGTGTCATGGGCGCTCACTGAAGCCATTGAGGCGGACATGGTGGATCTGATCATTTTCACAGTTTCTGATCGATTTCTCGCTAAAAACAACTGCTATAATCATGTCAAGGTTGTATTTTCCAGTTAAATCAGCTGCTGCTGTTTACAAAATTGTAAAATGAATAGATACAAAAGGTCCTTTTTAAAGGGGAAAACCCTTTTTTTTTTTTTACATTGGGCCCTTGATTTTACGTTATTACATCGTGTTCTACTCACCTATATGAGTTGTGTGTCATTTGGAGCTGTTCCAAAGATATTCCGTTAGGTTATATCCAAGTAACGTTATCCTATGGGCAACGAGCTGAAGGCACAAACTAAACTGTTCATAGTTTATCATTTATAGTATGCCGGCATTCATCACATGTGGGCAAATCACTGTCCTCCAGACATCCGCTGTTATATTTTTTATATTTATATATTTTTTTAAACAAAGCGGCGTGTGTATGACATCATCCGTGTGCACTGGCGACCATTCATTCTTCCTGAACTGCTGCTAGTTTTACTCACATGCCTGGAAGATGTCTAGTGCTACTACCACAGATGATCTCGCTCTCGTAATGGAATTGAACGATTCAGATTAGCTAGCCGAATGAATAGAAAGGGTAGAGCGTAGCCGCCCGTGGCCCGGGCTGCCTGTAACGATTCCAGTCCGGCGCACAGATCACGTCATATATAGGCTACTTTAAAAGATATAAATATAAAAATATAAAATATAACCGCAGATGTCTGGGGCACAGTGATTCGCCTACATGTTATGAATGCTGGTGTACCATAAAGCTGCCTGAAATAATCCGTTCCCCCTCCATAACATCGGAAGAAATTAATTTACCTGCAAGTCTTCAACTCTGGTTATTCCTGTCTTCCTTAACAACAAACCCTGTGGTGATGTTTGATCATTGTTTGCCAGAGTTATTAGAGGGGAATTATATATTTTAGCCACCTGATGTAAGCCGTTCCCCCTTGATGATCTTTATGAAATATATTTTCTGTTTAAATGTTTATCTAACAATTTGCAAATATTCCAAAAAAAGTAAAAAAAAAATAAAAAATAAAACCCATTGGACTTTGTTTTCCAAGTTTGAAGATGTTTCACTTTCCATCCAGAAAGCTTTCTCAATTCAAAATGTCTGGAGTAGCAATGCTCCAATTGAGAATTAAAAAAAACATTTCATAAAGATCATCAACCACCAGTCATATTTATTTGAACTATTTTGGATTTCAAAATATAAAATAATAAATGAATTGAACATAATATAGAAAAATTAACAGGATTTGTTTATTTTTTCCCATGTTATGGGGGAATGGATTTTATCAGGTGGCTAAAATATTTGATTTCCCTCTCATAACTCAGGCAAACAATGATCAAATGTCACCACATCCACAGGGTTTGTTGTTGATGAAGAGAAGAATAGACACAGTTAAAGGCTTGTAGGTACATTTATTTAATCCCATGTTATAGAGGGGGATGGATTATTTCAGGCAGCTAAAATATATGGTTCCCCCCTCATAACGTTGGCAAATAAGTAAAAAATGCTTCCAAAATCACAGGATTTGTTGTTGATGAAGAGAGGAATAAACACAGTTAAAGATCTGCAGGTAAATTTATTTCTTTCCATGTTATGGAGGGGGAATTGTTATGTGTGATAGCATGTAGTATGCTTAAAATTTCTTTAATGCAGTAATCTGTCATATTTTACATTAGAACTGTCAGGAATCCAGTTTTTGTTGGTTGTTTCTGTGTTTCCTTTTCTCCTCTACCAGGTGGTGCCCGTCCTCATTGGGCCTCCCTGCATACCTGCAGCTCGTTGCATCATTACCTGTGGAGTGCTCTTACTGTAAGCTGCTGACTGCCACTACCTTGAGGCCAGAGTTTTTGCCAGTTTGGGGAAGTCATCCTGCAAACTGGACGTTTCGGACCTTCTCTCCCTGGAAGGATCAACTGAGCCTCAAACTGAGCTGGGGAACTGGAGGTTGGGATCCACTTTCCCCCAAGAGGTCATTTGAGTTTCACACTGAGCAAGGGATTCATCTGCACCACAGTCCGTTCAAGTACCGCAGGAAATCTGAGTGGCAGTCAGCTTCTCCGTTCACCAAGGAACAACCGCAGTCTTAGTAAACCCTGTCAGCCCACCACCAAACAAGACAATCACTGGAACATCCCACACAGACTGGATTCAATATAGGACACTTTTTTCTGGAAACGTGAGTCTGCAACCTATTCCTCCTCTTCAAGTCAAATAATCTAATTTCCCACTGAGCCTGAACTAACCGCAGTGTCTTCCTCTCACCTTTCAGTTCTGTTTTTTCCCTGGTCTCTCTGTTTGGTCTTCTGTATTTTGGGTCAGATCTTTTATTAAATCATGACAAGAACGGGATTTACCAGAAAGTCTACACTCTCATCTTCACCCTCAGGGATATGCCCCTGATCTCCTAGAATCCTAAATCATCCCCTGACTCTGATCGAAACGGAGCGCTACTTACAGGCACGGTCCTCTGCCCTGACTGTGCCAGCTGTTCACCTCCAAGTATTCCAGGGACGTGCAGAGGGGGGGGGCGGAGGGTGCTTGAGCACCTGCCCCTTTGTCCCTGATTCTCAAAGTGCCCTTTTGTAGGGTTTATTATTATTATTATTATTTATTTATTTTTATTTTTTTTTTGCGTGTGTGTGTGTGCGTGTGTATTTGTGTGTTTGTGCATGTCCAAAACAATTATAATTTAGATCTACTGTTCCATGGTAACCGTGGCCGGTCACATGATATACTGGATCATGTGACCGGCCGCGTCAGCTTCACACAACGTGCCCTCAAGCTAACCTTACTACCGTGACGTGCCCTGCTGCTGCGGATAACCACTGCGACTCCAGAAAAAGTAAACAACTGGTCAGGTAAGTAGGTGCTGCAGTGGTGTTAGTTTGTGCAAGGTTTATTGTTGCAAGATGAGTAGACTGACCGAGTAAAGTAAGCAATGAGCATCCTCTCTGCTGTGTGCAATTTGCACACACCTCTCACAAGTTATAGCCCTAGCCAGCGGCGCAAAAAGTGGGTATGCACTATAGGTCACCGGTACTGGAGGAGGCGCAGAAACGATCATGGTAAAATGATCCCGCCAGTCATTTTTAAATGCTTTGATAATACTTTCATTGCCCCAGAATGTAGGTAGGTAGTTGCATCCCTGCCGCTATCTAATTGACCACCACACACGCACAGCGTGCTATGGGGAGGAAGTACGTCAGGTTTCTGTTGTTGTTACTGTCTGTTTCACCTGCTATGTGAAAGTGCAGAGAGATATGTATCTTACTCTCAAGCAGGTGTGTTTTCTTCCTGTTTTATTTCACTAAAACTGTGCAGTATGCATATTCACATCATTTTGGACCATTACAAAACAAAAATAATTAGAGTTTTGAATTTCTAAACCTCTCCTTTATTTACACAAAAAAATAAATATGCCCATATAGGCTAATATGCATACAGACAAATTGTATAACTTTTGGACCCTTGCTGTCATGCGCAAACTTAATAGTCAAACTAAATAAAAGCAAAAAAACATTTAAAAAAGTTATTTCTATATCATTTAATAAATTTTTATTTTATAGCATTAGGAATAATAAAGGGCAAAATATTAATGGGTTAAACTTGTGGCTATGCAGTACAATTTTTTTTAAAAAGGTATGCAATGTCAATTTTTGTTTGTATGTGTGTTTTATGTGGATCAGATTGTTTAAGTATCTTATTTCATTTTGCAGAGATGCCTCGTAAGGAGAGGAGGTTGAAACAAAAACAAAAGGAGCTGTGTGAGGCTGCAAAAGGCAGTGGATCACTCACCAGCTGGATGACAAAGAGCACAAAAGGTAAGATCAACACATGCACCAGTTATTTATAGCCATATTCAGTTAGAGAAAACAACATTAACAAACAAAATTTCAATGTTGTTCTGTTACATTGTAAAAAAAAAAAAAAAAAAAAAAAAAACTAAGGCACAGACCCTGACAGAAACTGACAGAAAGACAGAGCCACCTTCTCTCTATTGTCTTTCTCCCACGAATAATGTTACCCTTTCAGTTACAGTTACTTATACAATGTGAATATGTGTTTGTTAATAAATACAGGTTGAAACCTTTAAACTTGAAGTATTGTTTGTGTTTGTGGCTTTGAATGAGCAACTGGTTTTTAAGCAGTCAGCCTTGGCAACAGACTCTAGCAATTCAGCAGTGTGTCAGGTCAGTCAGAGTGAGCCATTTTAAATGTTAGTTATCTTTGCATCTTGCATGAACACACACCACTTGTTTAATCAGCTGCTATCTCTCCCATGCTCTTTTTAGTGTCTGTACCATCAGATTAATACAGCCCAACTCCAGCAACACAGAAGCACCAACCCCCTCAACAGAAGCTGTTTCATGAGGTAAAACACACTCATTTCGCTTTGCACTGACCTCAAACAAATATGTGAGTATGTGTGATAGGGTGTATTTTGATTCTACGTTCCATTATTTATAGTATGGGTTGGTACATTTCAACCAGTTGTACAGCAAGGTATGTTTCTGTATAATGTTTTAAATCCGTGCCCCATGCGCCCTCTTTTAACTTTGAGCACCCGCCCCTCCAACGGTCTCTGCACGTCCCTGAAGTATTCTGTGCCTGGCGTGCGGATCTCTCCTTTCCCTTGCTCAACAGCGTGTCCGTCTCTTACCTGCAGCAGCAGCACCGCTCCTCCTTCCATCCAGGCTCTTTTTATTTTGGCATCAATCAGCCTCTGCTGACACCTGTAGTCTGTAGTTGTTTTGAGTGTTCGGTCCTTTTTGGTGTTGCTCTGCTTTTTAATAAATTCCTTTTTTTATAGTACCTCTGGCTGAATTCCGGGTCCACTGCCGTGATTCATCACAAAATGTTTACATTTCTTTATACAAGACGTGATTTTTATTTGAAGGCAGTATTGTTTTGTCTGTGTGCCATCGATTTTTTTTTTTTTTTTTTTTTGTATCTATTCATATTTTTCAGCTGAATGGACTCGGGGAAAAATGCAAATAAGGGCCATGGTAGAGAATACAACAGATTTTTTTCTTTTTTTTCTTACTTTACTATTTCAAAGCAGTGATCCATAGGATCATAGCGCAGCACAGCAATGCATTTTCGGTATATTATTATATGCATGCACTTTCATTTATCTTTATAAGTTTATTAATATGTACTGGCTACCTTGACCGGGTCGGGTTTGGTCGCCCGCTGGCTCCCTGCCCCCAGCCACCGGGGTTCCAGGACCAGCCCCGGAGCTCACGGCTTGGTTCGAATGCCTGTGCTTTCGACTACATGCTGACGATTTTGAAATTCCCGCCGGACATTTTTCTAGGTATGAAAAGTAGGACATGTCAACCATTACCAAGACTTCTATAATGCAGTTTCACTGGCTTTGGGTATTAACACGGACGCAACAGTGGCTGCTTATGCGTAACGTCCCCAGTCAGCAGGGTTACAAGATGTCACTGACTCACGTTTTTAAGCCCAAAAAAACGCCTGGATATATGAAATCTCTCCCAATTTGAACCAAAGTCTATTGATCTTAGCCAACCTGGCAACAATGCACGTAAGATGGGAAACGTTAGCCTTTAGATGCAAAACCCCATCATGCACCACAACATATTTTTGCAAAATATTCAAACATAAATCTGCCAAATATAAGAGGAACATCGTAGTTTGGTTTAAAGAAAGCATTTTAGTTTTATTATAATTTAGTTTGTTGCAAGGATTTTACAGTTTGAAGAAGTACAAAATTACACCATATGCCAACCGTCACAAGGATGTGCATGACAAGGAAGGGCTATATATACTGCATGCATCAATTTAGGTAGTTGATATTATATTATTTCTTGAGCTCCTTAAGCTACTTACAGATATGACAGCAGTCACATCTATTTGATTACCTTAAATAATGAACTTGTATAAAAGACTGTAATTTGTTGTTTCAGCCCCCTTTTTTCTTTCAATGGAAGAGTTCACTGTGTGGTTTTAATTTCTGCCACTAGATGGCCCTCGGACAACATTATTGCATAGATTTCACTATAGTGTTGTTTGGAGAGAGATCAGTATGACATTTAATCCATACTGGTAACTGTGTGCACCATTCACAAGTGAGTAGTAATACTTGTGCTTTAACCCCGTTTTAATAAAGTCTTAGAGTTTTATTTTAGATAGTTTTAAACAGTTTTATGTGTAATTTAGAGAAGCTAATTGCTAGGCTTTGTTTGTTTAGCTTTATCTGAGTCTGTTAGTCTTTGTAGATCTTATTCTCCATTTAACTTGGCTTACTTGTGCTGTGTATCTTATTACTGTTATTTGCAGCTTTTTTTGGTGTTTGTATGTATAGATACTCACATTATTTTTAAGATAACTTAGGCTATGTTCACATTGCAGCCTGAAATGACCCAAATCTGAATTTTTGGCCCATATGCGATCTGGATCTGATCTTTTCATGACAGTCTGAAGAACACAGATTCTATTTTTTCCAATGCGACCCAGGCCACTTCGCTATGTGGTCCTGATTCCAATATGAATATGATATTATCAAATGCGACCTGTGTCTGAGCAGCCAGGTCACATTCATCCAACTTGAACGCCATTAGTAACCGACAAAGGTCACTATTCTGCTTATTGCTACACAGAAGCGGCAAGAAAAACAAACACCATGGCAGACAATGATGCGGAGATAAGTATTTTTTTTTAATCATCTTGAAAAGATTGAGGTTTTAAGGTTTGGAAAGGTTTCTAGATGCGCTCCTGCACTACATCCATGTTTACTTCCGTAAACACGAAGCACAATGGCTTGTGACGTCATTGCGTCCTCTACTGCACATGCTGGGACACTGAAGTGTGAACGTAGCCTTATATTGTTGTATACTATGAGTACATGTTTACTCCCCGTCAACAAATTTTGTTATCCTTCTGAAAGAAGTAGTCACAGATTAATACTAGAAATTGTTTATTGGTTTGTTCTTCTTGTAGAAACGACACACAAACTCTATACCTGCACAATTAAACCCATTCTCATGCTGTTAGCTGTATTGAGGAATACTGATCCCCAATTAAAGTTTAGAGTAGATAACTTCTGGACCTGGACATTCTGTTATGGCAATATAACTGTTGTCCTGACCATTTGCCACTTCATTTTTTACATCCTTAATAACCTAATGTAATCAACTTCTTTAATTGATAGGCAACTGTAAGGGAGGAAAGCACCTGCTCAGGTACAAAATTTGCATTTCATTGAACTGACTTACAATCTTGAATTGGAGTACCATAAACTCATAATATTAAAGGTATGAAATAGAATTTTTCTCAGAAATTAAGTGTCCAGATTAATCTAAAATGATTTGAGGGCTGACATCCTTGCACCTATGGTCTACCTATGGTTTAAACTATCTTGCTGTCAGTTCGAGCGGAGTAAATGCAGTGAACAAATTGTTTGTTGTGTTGGTCTGCATAAGAACATTGGTTGAGCCACTTCCATATAGCTTGTTAAGGACAAAAATCTAAATGACGATGACGTTTTTATGGTTGGATCATCAAAAGGTAAGTGGTCCTCCTAATTGTCTATCATTCTGATAATATTTTTACGTAAGGACGTCCTTCGTGCTCGTCCCCATTTTCATTTACCGGTGGTCAATCTGACATAGTGGAAAAATTGCAAATCTTCTTTTGGAAAGAAAGCTTGTAGGAGAGATGCAAACAGCAACTTTTAAACAGAGCGTGCACAAGGAGAAATGGGATCTTATGAAACACATGCAAGAGCATACATTTAATAAACGTTTAATAAACCTTCCCACTCGGGAGCAGGTACAGGGTTGTGCATCTATATTTTCTGTGGAGAGTGGGGCGAGGTTCCCATAGACAGTGACGATTTGGACAAACATGTCAGCTGTTTGTGTTGGTTCACAGTGTTTTCTGCAGTCTGTAGTCAGTGCAGCTATCTACCAGGAAATCTACCAATAATCCTGATTTCATTCTGTCAGGTTGGGTGGAGGTTTGAAGAGGACCCAAATGCAGACAATGAAGTAGTTTCTTGTATATTGAATAACAAAAAGGGTAACAGAAGCAAAATCCACAAACAAACCACAAAATCCAAAAATACTGAAAACCAGGAATACTAACAACAAGGAAGCAAAGAAATTATGAAAAAGCAAGCAACAGTGACTGAGCGGGAGGCGCATATATGGGAGAGAGAAACAAAGACCAGACTATACAGCAGATTGAGAGCAGGTGTGAACAGAAGAGTCAAGAAAGGAGCTAGGGGAAAGCAGACTGACACCAGAGGGCAACAGAGGGCAAACAAGAAATACCAATGAACTCAAATGCAATCAAAAACAACAAGAATAACCCAAAATTGAAACCAATGAAAACTCAAAGATAAGATAACCATGGGTTTCTTTGTTTGAGTGGCAAGCAAATTGGACCGATCTGAACGCCATAGAGAAGCTAAGGAGAATTGACAAGAATGGCTGAGAGACACCAAACCCAAAAAAGTAAATAACCCAAAGGTTACCATCTCAAATAACCATAGCTTATGTTACACCTCAGCAGAACCACAGTCTCATTGCCTCCAGGCAATGCCACTCTCTTGCAAAAGGAACCCTAACCAACTGAGAGATCTACTTAATTACAGATACCTGGCATTTCTGCTTAAAATCCCTTTTTTTATGTGCTATTTTCAAATTTTCTGAGACATTTATTTTGTGTTTTCTTATTTGTGAGAAATAATAGTCAAACAAGTTTTTAAATACTTCAGACTATAAACTTTTATGGATTTATATAAATTTCCTTTTCTAAAGAGGGGGACACAATGTAAAACTTTTCCGATATTGAAATTTTTAGAGATGCATCTGTATAAAACACTTTTTGACTTTATTAAACTAGTTTCACATTCAGAAATATAAATGAAAACGCTAAATCAGTTCTATGATGATTCTTGATATAAGATGTTAAGCTTTCATGTTTTGTTTTTTATTTTAATCTATCAGGTCAAGTTGCAGAGGGCTTTTATAGACAGTAACAGATCATCACAAAAATAACCATCATGTTTTGTTGTGAAAAATTAGATTTTATTTTGAGGAAAATGCTTTTTTAGGTAGATCAGTCATTCCAGATGGTCAACAGAAATGGCCAGGTATAAAAATGAGAAAAAAGATCAAAATTCTAAGGCTAATTTGCACCATAACATCCTTTTATATGACTTGAGTTCAGATATAACAGACAGTATTAGATGTCTGGGAATAAACAGCTTTATAAAACATCATAGGCTACTGTACAACATTAAAAGTGCTTCAGAAATAATACAAACTTTGAGAAGATTCTCTTCTGGTTTGCTTGATAGGCTCGGACTGGTGTCCAATGAAATAAAAATATAACCAAAGCAACATCTGCAGCATCCGTATTCCCATGGACCAGTGCCACCCACCACATCAGCATGGTTGACAGATGTCACTGACTCACGTTTCCAGCCCCAAAAAGTTTCTTAAAACCACCTGGATACACAAAATCTCGCCCAATTTGAACTAAAGTTTATTGATAT